ACAATATGGACGAGACCGGGACCATGCTCTGTTTCCTGGCCTCGAAAAAGGTTCTCGTCGGCCACGACGACCCGACCAATTGTCGAGGAGCCGGGGTGAAGCGTGAGCTGGTAACGTCCATTGAATGCATCTCGGCCGACGGTCGAGTCCTCGAGCCACTCATCATCTGGGCAGCGTCCACGCACCGCAGTAATTGGACCACCCATCCTACCACCGGATGGCACTTTGCCTACTCGGACAGTGGACGCACCAATAAGGCTATCAGTCTGTACTGGATTCAACACGTCTTCGATCCCTCCACCAGAAGTCGAGCCAATGGTCGACCCCGCGTGCTCATCAACGATGGCTTTGGAACACACGAGTCCGAGGGCATCCTGCAGTTCTGCTTCGAGAACAACATCATTCTGTGCCGGCTCCCGTTACATACCTCGCACAAACTCCAACCGTGCGATCTCACCGTTTTTAGTTCCCTCAAAAGTGCTTATCGTGAACAGCGAACTTGTATCGTGGCGGTGCTAACACCGTAGGCAAGCAGCACTTTACCCTGCTTTACAGCCGGGCACGCGACGAAGCCTTCACGCCGCGGAATATCAGGTCCGCTTGGTGCAAGGCCGGCCTCCACCCGTTTAACCCGGAGCGGGCGTTCCATGACATCCAACCAGTGCCCATCGAGGAAACTGATCCTCGAACACAGACTGTGAACGTAGAACTTCCACCCCCGAATGACCTGCTGACCACCCCTACCACTTCGGAGGGTATCACATTGCTGAGCAGGAAACTGGAACAGGATATCGGCGATCTTGACAGCCCTGTCAAACGACGGTTCGCAAAGTTCCGCAATGCGGTTGAAAAGTCGCTCGCCGACGTCGCTCGCCGGCCGTTCGCTCCTGCGAGCGGATAATAAGCACTTGTTCGACCAGAACAATGAGAAAAAGACGCGAGCATCGATGAGGTCCACCGTGATCGGACGGGCCAAGATCACGACTTATGATGACCTTGCGGCGGCCCGAAACAAGCGTGGAGCAGTGGAATCTGGCATCGCCGGTCGAGCCAGAAAGTCTGCCAAACGTCAAAAAAAGGGTCCCAGCCCTCCCAAGACTCCTAAAACCTCGTCAGACGCTCCTTCCAATCCCAAGGAAACCGACAAAGAAATGTCCGGGACTAGAGGCTTGGAAAGTTATTGTTCTGTTCTGCAGTTCTGATCCTCCATTCAACCTCTCATTAACAGACTAACATATCCTCGGGAAAGTGGAGCCATTCTTGACGAAGGGCGTGCCTTGTTTTGCAAACTCAGCTTCCGTGATTTCACCACGCGGATATTGAATGACGAAAGGTGAAATGTGTTCGGTGGTCGATATTTTATTGTGGCTAATCGTCGGCAGGCAAGGAGCTAGACACTGGGAGCTGCAGACGAGAGGATGGAATCGCTCTGAAGATTTCCAACCGGTTTTGTTCTCTCCACGTCAATGCCCGCATGAAGGGCTGGAAAAGTGAATGGAGTCAACCTTCATAGTTTACATACGATGAAAGGCCGCTTCCCATTTCTTGGAGCGTAGAGCCCTTGGGACCGGTTTTGGTATCCTGCATTTAGTCATAGCAGTTTATGATATTTTTTTCTTGCGCAAGGTTTTGTCTGCGCATCATGTGTTCTGGCATCTATCCTCAAATCGTATGCGGTGTTTTAGCACCATAATATGCCCTCGAAAAAAGTGATGTAGATCGATGGTAGGGGGAACGAGTGAGGGAAAGCGTTTTGTCAACTTCCGGAAACCCTCGTGCCTGGGTGGTCATCGAAATCTCCCGAATGTTCAGTTGACACTGTGGGTGGGATGGAGAGTAAAAAACAGAGCGAAGCAGAAAGCTGCCATAGCTCTTAATACTGCCAAAAATTTGAACGCATTGTAGAATATTGTGTGTTGATTGATAGGGCCTAACCGACCTGAGGTTGTGGTGCCTGCGCAATTTCAGGTTTTCGAGCGCAGCTCAGCCGTGCCATACTGGAAAGGGCGCGCCAAGAAGGGAGTGATGTTAAAGTTCATCAGCTCACTTATTAAATAACGCGACGGACATGAGAGCGGCAATACGTGTATGGCGCGTTGTGGGGGCCTGCAGAACTGTGCCATTGACCTTGCTACACGAAGCACGCCCAGACGTCCACGTGATTGCGCCAAACGGCGGCCTGAAATCTTGGCGAAACGGATAAAAAGGGCTGAGCTACTCCGTACCATCCTTAAACATTCTCTTCTTCCCCTCAGTCCCTCACGTCCGTACGCTGAGTTTCCTGAACTACCAAAACAACGACTATTTTAAATCAATTATATCCATACATGGCGCAGAGAGAACATGACCACTACATGAAACTGGCCGAGGAGGCGACGAAGGTCGACGATGCCGTCCGTTGGGAAGCGAAAGCCGTGGCGACGGCTGCGAAGGGGATGTTTGAGCCCAGACTGCTGACTGAGGCAAAGAAGAAGGCTGTTGCGCAGAGAGAGCATGATTACTACATGAAACTGGCCGAGGAGGCGACGGAGGTCGACGATGCCGTCCGTTGGGAAGCGAAAGCCGTGGCGACGGCTGCGAAGGGGATGTTTGAGCCCAGACTGCTGACTGAGGCAAAGAAGAAG